GAGCGCATTGGATTGTGGGAAAATCAATGTTTATCAACACAAATGTGGCACATGCGCAGCGCGACGACTACCGCGCTTTAAATAATCAATGAATCACACAGTCAAGTATTAAAATAGTTTTAGAACCTCCTTAGATGATTGCTTATCATTTACAATTTACTGGACGTCAAAATATTTATCATAGAAGATTTCATGACAATTGAAAAGAAATACCAAATCTCCATTATTCACCTATTGATATGCAAATTAGTGTATAATTCTGACATCAAAATCAACTGATCAATCAACTGAGTACTACAGGTTACTCAGCAGGGACTCATCAAATCTTTCAATTTTTTTCCAGACACTGCAGATCTTATATACAAGAACATATAAGTTATTATGACTACAATAGCGATTTTCTAAATGTGAAAACGAATACATTTCTTTTCCCGCAAAAATGCAAAAATATAAATTTAAAAGAAAACAAAATGATATTCAAAATTGCTGTGACTTTTATGTTTCTTATGTTTTATTCTACATTTTTTAATAAAAAATTGTGTAGCTCTTTTAATTTTTTTCACAGTACTCATTTGAATCCTCAAGAAATGATTAATTTACTTGGCAGACCACAGTCCCTCCACAAATCATCGTAGGATTTCCACATTACAGTAATATTTTAGAGCGATCACGGAAGTAAAGACTATGTTGACACGAATGAAAACATTGAAAGTACGCATGCGCACTAAAGAAACGCAATGCTTTGTGGGAGAAATTACATCATCGGATATGCTAATTTTATGTTAATGTGGGGGAAAGATGGCAGAACGTCCGTATTTTACCGCTAGCGAAATAAACAACGATTAAGCTGTTAAATAAACAACGGATTAAGGATTAACCGAAACACGCATTGTAACAAGAGATATCTGACCGTTTCATAACCGGTTGTGGAGGGACTGTGGGCAGACACATGAAGGTTACATCTAACATATCATATATTTATAATTAGTATGAGCTTGCATAATATAGATAGTTTGATATGGTTTAAAACAATTCTTCTATAAAAATATTTAGTGTGAATTTATTTCTGAACACCTCTACTACATCCTTAACGGCTTTGTATTTACAATTTATATATATACGTTTTTAACAAGCCGGTAAAAGTTTGATAATTTAATATACTTTTATTTTTGTTAAAACCAATTGCACCTCCTTTGTGTGCTTGGGCTCAAACTTCCTCAAGAATCGAGTTGATAAAATAAAACAATTAAATTAATTGATTTGATTGTGTCACGAAGTATGTGCAAACAGGTGACAACTCAGCTAATTTTGTTAACCAGAGGTTTTTTTATGAGCTGCTCAATTTGTAGTTGAATGGACCCTCGTGGTTATCCTATACTGACAAATAGTCCGTGTGTGTCCACCCGCTACGAAAGTCAGTTATCACAGCGGCAATTCCAATGTCGGTAAAAAAACAATATTATTTCAGACAAAAACGTTATACATCCCGCTGTTGAAACCCCCGAAAATGACCAGTTACTACCAATTGGCGGCTTAAGTAATCAGTTTACCCCTCGATTCTATTCGCCTTCCCGGAATATTTTTAACCGACGACAATAATACTGATTCTGACTCAATTTCGGACGATATTGGCGTGCATAACATTGTTGATATAAACAACTATAACAAATCGGGTAAATTATTCCGAATAAGTGTGTACGTACTTCGATTTGTAAACAAATTAAAGAGGTCATCAAGCTAAGAACTGGTTATGGCTAAGAATAAATGGGTCACTGACCTACAACGCTCTAATCATGGAGACGTCATACATTAACTTTGATTACGTGACTGTAAACACGCCATCATTGTTCAACAATTGAACTTTTTTTTCTGAATATCGAAGACATTCTACGTAGTCTTAGCCGTATACATTACGCACCACTAAACATGTGTCGATTTTATAACAATTGTCGATTTTACGGGACATTTATATAGAAAATTGGTAGAATGAATAGCAAAGTGAACGTACATAAGCCTGGCTAGTGCTTACATGCGCTGTCTCCGGGCAATTCGCCTCGTACCTGACATATCGTGATATTGACAATCCCGCGATTTAGTAAAGTATGAGGGGGGAATTCTTCTTCTCTGGGTTCTCCACACGTGTAAGGGAGGAATATCTTGTCTCATCTCTCTATCGCGTTCCCTTGAGGTACGGGATCGGGAAAGTCAAATAGACGCACACAACAAAATACGTTTCAACTCTCGTCTTTAGTCAGTCAGTCGAGTACTCTATAAGACACAGCGCCCAGGGGAAAAGACTACCTTAGACTGCGTCTGTCGTGGTGTTCTCGCCAAGACCAACTAAAACAACTTTATTCATTTTCAAAACCTTAACCAATTACAAAGCAGTTTAAAGACTCTAGGGCGTAACCTTCAATCATACAGCCAATCACACTAAGTACTGAACACGTCATATCTTTTGATTAATCGTTCACTACATTAATAACTACGAATACCAACTGTCAGAAATAGTAGTCCGAATAGCGACGGTTATATGAATTAAATAAAGTTGCTACCTGGTGTAAATCAAATAAATTAACTATAAACATTGTCAAAACAAATTTCATGATATTTCAGACAGCTCAAAGAAAAACAACTATTGAGGACGTATTGTCAATTGATGATTTGTCATTAAGAATGGTGTCGTCAGCTGTTTATTTAGGTGTCACGCTTGACTCAACACTTCGTTGGAGACCCCATATCGATAACATTGTTAACAAAATCAGTAAAACAATTGGGATAATCTCATACTTGAGGCATTATTTACCAAAATCCATTCTGATATTACTTTACAACTCGTTGAT